AAGCCAGCCAGAGTCTATAACATTCACTCATAGATCATCATAAAAGTGAACCAAAGGTAGGAAAAGTCAGATGCCTGGGAAAGATGTGCCAATGTTCACATGCAAAGGGGAACAGACAGCAGATTTGGTTCGTCCATGTGATGTGGTGAAAACAGTTCTAGGCTTAGAGTCAGGATAAGTGAGGGTTCAAATCCTGCCTTGGAAACTTATAAGCTGTATCCATTGGCTAAACACTTAGCCTTGGGGAACTTCAGTTTCCTCATCTGTAAAATGAAGGTATTAATGAAACCAGGTATAAATGCTTCCTGACTGACTTCCAGCTCTAAATCTATGACCTTTTGTAACCCTGGGCAATCACTTAAACCCTTCAGGGCCCCAGTGTCCTCATCTGTAAAATGTGAGGGTTGGACTAAGTGGCCTTGAAAGTCTGTTCCAGCTCTCAGTCTGTGATTATATAAGCTTCATAGCACTTTGAAAACCTTAAAGTCACAGATAAATGTCAGCTGTTGTTATTACTACTCATATCTGTTTCTTCCTGATACGCTAAGAGTCCTATCACCCAAGACCTCTACTTCTCACTTCTGAAGTCCAGTGTGCTGCCCCAAACAGTGACCTGTGGTATGCCTGAGCACGGGTCATTCTACCTGAACCCATCAACAAAAGCAGCCAAGAGATGGAAGAGAGAAAACCTTCACATTTTTTCATTCAGAATTTCCTCCACTTCTGAGGAAATCAGCATTTATGTTATGTGGCAGCTAGTCTACTCTCTGGCCCTCTTGTTATTTTAAGCTTATTCCTAGGGAAAAACAAAACAGAACATGATATGTTTCGGGGATGTTTGTGCTTAGTAGAGAAAGAAATGTAGGAAGAATGTCTGAGAGTAATGTTGGGCTTGCAGTCAGAAGGACCTGGGTTCAAAGCCCACCTTTCTGGTCATCCTAGAAAAGCCTGCCCATTTATCAGTGCTTTGATTACTACCCAGGTTGTCAACAGGCCACGGCAAAGCTTGGGTATGATCAAAGATGGAAAGCTTTCTGTCAGCCAGTTCAGCTGTAACATTGCAGAGAATTTAAGGCCTGTTCACAAGAGCCTAGGAAACAAGGAGTTCTGGCCACCCCAAGTCCAAGAAAGTTATTTTGCTGTATAGCATAATTCCCTTCCCTTGCTTCCTGTCCAAATAATTAATGTTGGGAACTTAGGGGAAAGACTGAATTATATAGGGCAGCTAGGTGGCGCAGTGGATAGAGTGCTGGGCCTAGAGTCAGGAAGAATCATCTCCCCGAGTTCAAATGTGGCCTGCTCAGATACTAGCTGTGTGACCGTGGGCAAGTCACTTAACCCTGCTTGCCTTACTTCCTCATCTGTAAAAAATGAGCTGAAGAAAGAAATGGCAAACTACTCCAGGATCTTTGCCAAGAAAATCCCAAATGGAGTTATTAAGAGTTGGACACAACTGAAAAACAACAATTGAATTACATGAAGTTCACTTGTAGCCATTGCAGAAAATAAGATAGTGTCTTTTAACAGTTGTTCTCTATTAGACTGTGAGCTCCTTGATAGCAGAGACTGAGTTTTTGCCTTTCTTTATATCTCTAGTGCATAGCACAGTGCCTAAGATGTGGTAGGTGCTTAATAAATGCCTGCTGACTGATTGTCCAGTTGTTCACCTTTCCGTAAATGTATACCTCAGTCCTTAACTTACCTTAGTAAGGCTTCTTAACTTATTTTGTGCCATGGACCCCTTCTCAGAATGGCTTTTAAATATATAAAACACATAAGATTACCAAGAAAACTGATTATAATGATATACAGTACCACTGTGTGAAGATGGGAGGTCCACAGTTACTATACATTGCACACGTTTATGGACTTTTTCAATGTATCCATCAGTCTTGCTGATTTTTTTTTCCTCTAAAAATATTGATATATGGGATGGGTCTCTGGGAGAGAGGGAGAGGGATACTGGGGATAACTATAATGGGAAAAACTGAAAGTTAATAAATAAAAAAAAATATAGCTATCAAAATCTTAAAAAAAAACATGTTCAGAGACTCCAGGTGAAGAACACTTTTCTTAGTTGAAGCCACCAGTTATATAGTAGGAAAGGCCAAATGTTTGTTGGCTGAGACCTCGGAATGCTGTTCCTCCACCATTCCAGCTGCTGACCACTCTGGCTTCCTTTAAGTCCCAAGTAAGATGCCACCTCCTACAGGAAGTCTTCCCTAACCCTTCTCAATTCCAGTGCTTTCCCTTTTTTAATTATTTCCTATTTATCCTGTGTATAGCTTGCTTTGTATGTTTTTGTTTGCACGCTGTCTCCCCTATTCGATTGTAAGCTTCTTGGAGACAGGGACTGTCTTTTGCCTCTTTTTGTATCTCTAGCACTTAGCATTGTGCCTGGCACATAGTAGTCACTTAATAAAAGTTTATTAAATTGAATTGAAATGACTTACCCAAGGTCATAAAAGTAGTAAGCATCAGAGGCAAGATTTGAATTCAGGAATCTAGGTGGTGCAATGGACAGAGCGCTGTACCAAAAGTCAGGAAGACTTGAGTTCAAACATGGCCTCAGATCTTACTAGCTGTATGCCCCTGGGCAAGTGTCACTTAACCTCTCTGTCTGTCTGAGTTTCCTCAAGTGTAAAATGGGAATCATGTAGCACCTACCTCAAAAGGGTTATTGGGAGAATCAAACGAGGTAATATCTGTAAAGCGCTTAGCACAGTATCTGGCACATAGTAGGCACTTAATAAATACTTGTTTGCTTTTCCTTCTGACCTCAGAGTCAGAATTTTTTCTAATATAATTCAGTAAGCATTTATTAAGTGCCTGCTGTGTGCCAGGCACTATGCTAGGCCTTGGAAATAAAAGTACAGAGAATGAAAAACTTGCCTTTCACACAATGAGCTTACCTTCTCAGGAGAGAATTTTGTGGGAATAAAATTAGTATAGCCTCTCTCTTGTTGTTATTATGAAGAAAGCACTTTGTCAACCTTAAGCATTTGCTAGTTATTCACTGCCCTCCCCCTCAACAATTTTTGTGTGAATCTTGCGCGTACTTATCCGTACCACACATACTCCAGGACAGCAGAAGATAATCTCTTTGCTGACAGGGACTCTGCTGTTTTTGTCTGTATCATGAGCAGCTAGTGCAGTGCCTGGCATATAGTGGGCATTTAATAATGCTTATTGAATTACATGATTACAGATTACATTATTACAAAAAATTCTGACTGTCGAGTCAGAATTAACTTACCTTCAAATCCTAAAGACCTGAGTTCAAATCCTGCCTCTTCTACTTGTTTAACCATGGGCAAGTCATTTTATCTCTTAGGTCTCAAGTCGATGAAGGGCTCAGGTCCTCTAAGGTCCCTTCCCATTGCAGATCCTATGAGCTTAGGACTGATTCCTTGCTCAGGCATGTTGGTGGCTAGGAGTCTGTAGAGGGAGCTTTAAGACTCCTTGGAACTTAGTGGTTTCCTCCATTCCCCACCCCCAAAACCATATTTCAGGCCCTACTATTCACTATTTGCTATATTTTATTTTTTTGCTATATTTTATATTTTTATTTTATTTGCTATATTTATTTTGCTATATATTACTATTTGCTATAGGCATGCCTTGCTTTCAGCAATTGGTTTGATCCTAAAAAGATCAGTCATGTGTATGACTTTTATAAATTGAATCCTACTTAAAAATCATTAGACCTTGAAATTTAAAGGAAGCCTGAGTTAGATAACTTTGCAAAGTGAAAAACAAAAAAGATTTTCAATTTACCTGGCACACAGTAGGTACATATTAAATATTTATAGGCTGAGGAAACTGAAGGTCAGAGTGGTAAATTACTTGCCCAAGCTCACCCGGTTATTAAGTAGTGGTTCCCAAAATCAAACCTAACTAAAGGTAAGCCTACTTAATTTAATCACCTTAGAGGTTTTGCTTCATGATAATTGCTAAGTTAAGTTAATTACTTTAGCAAACTAAAAATGTTTATTGAAATGCACTTTAAAATTTATCCATAATTTTTCATTATGCAGGTTCTAGGGTATATTGAGTATTTCAGTCATAATAATTCCCCAAACCCCATATTGTTCACACATGCACACACACAATGTACTTCTTATCTTAAACAGATGTATTTCTTGACCATCCCAGAAGTTAACTCAATCCAGATCAAGAAAGACTTGTTAAGTACCTACTGTGTTCTGGGTACATGGTACAGTGAACTGTATTCTAGGCTTAGAGTCAGGAAGACTTGTGTTCACATCCCACCTCAGACATTTACTAGCTGTATGACCAAGGGGACAAATATGTAGTGGGTTTCCACCTCAGATACTTATTAGCTGTATGACCAAGGGGAAAAATGTAATAGGTTCCAGAAGTCTGTACTTTGTAGGAAAAGGAATATTATGATGCATCTCAAGGAAACAGCCAGGACATTCAGGTGTATGGAGTAGTGGATGGAGTGCTGGAGCCAGAAAGGCCCAGGTTGAAATCTTGACTCTGGGGCAGCTAGGTGGTACAGTGGATAGAGCACTGGCCTTGAAGTCAGGAGGACCTGAGTTCAAATCTGACCTCAGACCAAACACTAGTCACTTACTAGCTGTGTGACCCTGGGCAAGTCACTTAACCCCAATTGCCCAAAAAAAAAAAAAAAAAAAGCAAAAGAAATCTTGACTCTGAAATTTAATACTCTGTGACCACGGACATGTCACTTAATGCCTACATATCTCAGACAGTTCTTTAGAACTCCTTAGGGTTGCAGTCTTCTTTGATAAAAGGAGTTCCTACATTGGGATTTCGCCATCCTGATAACTTGTGCAAAGCAATGTCCCTACCTTCAAGAAGTTTGCTTTCTACTTGAAGTCTTAACTGATTGCTAAAGAATAATCCATGAAGAATAAGCAGACATGAAGAAGACCTGTTGTCCCCTTGAGCCATTTTGGCAATGCTTGACATAGAACAAGATTGATTGAAACATAATTTCTTTGACCCTGTAGGTACTGCAGAGGTGACGACAAGGGGACACGTGGAATATAAACTTATTTCTGGCATTCGATATATGTGGTGGTACCATTTAATTGGCCTTATCTGGACTAGTGAATTTATCCTGGCCTGCCAGCAAATGACCATAGCTGGGGCAGTGGTCACCTGCTATTTCAACCGGTAGGTACAGTTTCTCTTCTATTCTCCTAGAATAGTAGGTATGTGGATGTCTCATGATGAAAATCTCAGAAGAAACATTTTGGAATTGTGGGATGGCACCAAGTTCAGTAGAGGCATGGGATATAACATGATAACAGGCACATAGCCCCTTAAGGTTTTAAAAGTGCTTGGCTTTGGAGCCTCATGACAACCATTTGAGGTAATGCTTCCAGTATTATTGTTCCCATTTTACAGAAGAGGAAGCCAAGGCTTAGAAACTGACCTAGAGTCATCCAATCCATCAATCCAATAAACATTTATTAAGTGCCTACTCTGTGTGAGGCACTGTGGTAAACCTTTTTTTAAAGTACTTGCTATGTGTCAGACCACTGGGTTAGATACTAAGGATACAAAGACAAAATGAGAAATAGTCCCTGCCCTTAAGGAGCTTACATTCTAGGGACAATGACATGTACACAGTGAAAATAAAATATGAGGAAAAAGAGAGTTCTGTATTTGTATCTTCAGCGTATAACAGTGCCTGACACATAGTAGACACTTAATAAATGCTTGTTTATTGATTAAATAAGATATTATGTATACTTTTAGATACTTCTAAGCTCCATCTGTGTAGTTGACAAGTCAAACTCATAATACATTGATTTTTTTCTCTGGTTTCTTTTTTATTTTCTTATCTTGAAATATACAATGAATCATCATCATAACATTATTAATAATAATAATTTTGGCTCACCAAAAACCAATTCTATAGCACGTTTTCACTTTTATTCCACAACAAGCACTTATTAAGCCTCTACCTTGCTAGCTGCTAAAGGTTATATCTTAAGACAGTTAAAACACTTGAGAATGGGGGGCCTTGATGTAAGAATCATCCATCATGATTCATTTCTACAGCCATCCTTTAGTCAAACAATTCAGGCTCTTAAGAGGTTTTTCTCTTTGACCTTGGCAGAGCCCTGCCTCTCCATTTTCCATTTGATGCTTCAAGGCCCATTCTTATCTTGTGGTTTCAGCACTGGAGACTATCCCTGCCTGTGTGTGGAAAGGCAAATTGTACCCATCCCAAGGATTTAATACGGTCAAAGCATATTCATCAGTGTCATTCACGTCATACAAGTTCCAAGAGTCCAAACAAACCAGGACATAGAGTCCCATGTTAAAGTCAACTAGTCACATTGGCTTTTGTTTTTAAATCCTTAGCTTGGGAAGAGTTCAACTGAGAGCCACATGGATGATGAAAGGCCTGGGAAATAAAATCTCCAGGAGAGATGAAAGGAACTGGGATTATTCAGCCTAGGGAGGAGAAGCTTGAGGAGTGACTTCATAATAGTCTTTGTATGAAGAATGGCAGCCAGCTGTCCTGGCTCTGCTGAGGACCAAATATGAGGAAATGTGTTTTAACCTAAGCCCCTCATGGCATAGTTTAAATTTGGGAAGAGTTTCTTGACAGTTCAAATAGCTAGTGCATTACCAAGAGAAGTTGTAAAAATTTCTCTTATGGAATTCCTTAACAACTGGAGAGACACCCATTCATTGGATGGGGGAAATGGAGCTAATTTAAGTTTGGACTGATTTAAAGTCAGAGGGATAGACTGGATAACTTCCCCAGGGCTTTCCAAACCCAAAATAGATATTCATTCATTTATTCAGCAGGCATTAAGCAAACGTCTATTATGTCGAGCTCTGTGGGTAATGCTGGTGAAGGAGAGACAAAAAGGGAAATAGTTTTTGCCCTGAAAGAGTTTCCATTCTACTGAGGGGAAACGTGCATACTTAAGTAAACATTACATAAGTGAAAGCATAATATAGAGCAAAGAGTGATGAACTTGCTCAGGGAAGTCCTAGGTTCAAATCCGGCCTGTCACATTCACTGTGTGGCCCTGGCCAGGTGCCCAAATCTTATTCTTCTCAACCATCTGTAAAATGGGGATAATCAGACCTGTAGACCCTTCCTCAAAGGTTATTGTGAGACTCAAATGAAATAATGCCTGTAAGTACCTTGGAAACTTTAAAGCACTATTTAAATGCCAGTTATTATTACTATTGTTATTGTTATTATTCTATCTATAGTAGAACTATGGAGCTCTCAGTCAGTATAAATTTGACAATATATTAGTTGAAGGAACCTCCTCCAAAGTATCCCAGTTATCCAAGTGATTTCTTTATTATTAATTATAACTCACATTGTATTGGCACTATCAAGTAGTGGATAGAGGGCTGGCCTTATACTCAGGAAGACCTGGGTTTGAATCTTACCTCTGATATATACCACCTATAGTCGTTTGACTCTGGGCAAGTCATTTAACATCCCAGTGCCCCAGATATGTCTCTGAGTATATAAGGTAAAAACATTGCCATTCTGCATTGTTGGAGTAAATTTCCACACCAGTGAGAATTGAGGCGGGGCAAGTTCATCACTCTTTCCTCTATATTATGCTTTCGCTTATATAATGTTTACTTAAGTATGCACGTTTCCCCTCAGTAGAATGGAAACTCTTTCAGGGCAAAAACTATTTCCCTTTTTGTCTCTCCTTCCCCAGCACTACCCACAGAGCTCGACATAATAGACATTTACTTAATGCCTGACAATAGGTAAACTTGTTTCTGATGGAATTGAAATTTTAAAAAGTCTCAGTCATTTAAGGATCTGAAAGGGCTAGCAAACATCTCATTAACCCCAGCAGTCTCCCTGGAGGAGCAGGTAGATATGTACCAAGTAAGAGCCCTATTACACAGTTATAGAAACAGAAGCATAAAAAAAATTATTTTCCTGGTCTCTCATCTCATAGAAATAATGTAACACAGATAGATATCTTCCAAGTCCTCTGTCCTAGCTGCTTGCTTCAATGAGGGACATGTTTAAGTTCTTTTTATCTATTCACAACCAGAAATGCCACTGAATTTGCAAGGAGATCATATTTCCATGTACTTCCCAACACAGCTGGTCTTGTGAGTAGACAGGTCGGGGAACTGACTACACATTATGTGATGTCCTTTTGCCTAAGGTAAATACCTACAACCAGGAGATCAAGATGTACTGGTATATCTATAATCTTTACCTGGTAATTCTTCCAGTGGGGGGCGGGAACATAACTGACAGCATCACTATCTATTCTTCTCTGCTCTATTCCTTCTCAGTTGAGATGCTTGTTACAAATTCAGAATGGAGTCACTATTGTCAAAGGTATTCCTATGACAAGGGGCTTTGCAGCTCTCCCCTCTCCACCCTGGAGTGGTATTTCCAGAAATGATTGTGCTATAAAAGTGCCTTATGTATAGTTTTCAAGAGTTGGGGAGTTATCTCCGGTGTTACTCTGAAGGAAAAATGTTCCTGAGTGAGACGGGTGGCAGACACTGGGGGATGGGTTACCCTGAAATTACTTACAGAATCACAGAGATGAAAAGACTTTCCTCTACCTCCCAACTATTGTATCACCTGTCATCTTGACCTTTGTCTTGCAACTGGACTTCGATGACTCTGGAAGACAGAGTGAGGTTGACGACTTTGGGCATTTCAACTTCATTTAAATCCAATTCACGCACAAGTTAAGAAATCACACCGTAATGTCATTGGCCCTTTTTGGAAATGAAGGACAAACAGCATTTGGAGAAAATAAGAAGCTGTGTCTTTTTTTCCCCCTTACAAATAGTCCAGGAATTCCTGACCTAAGGCTTTGGTTCCATTTTAAAATGTAAATATCCTTCATCACTTCATCAAGAACTGATCCTGTCAGGCTGACTTTATGTCTTTTTTTGACAGGGTTACTAAACTGGTTGATCAGGAGTGTACCATAGGTCAGGAATTCTTAAGCATTTTTTGTGTCATGGACCCCTTTGACAGTCTGGTGAAGCATATAACCCCCAATAATGTTTTAAAATGCATGAAATATAATGCATAGGATTACAAAGGAAATCAGTTATATTGAAATACAGTTATCAAAATGTTTTTTATCTTTTTGGGGGGGGAGAGTGAGGCAATCGGGGTTAAGTGACTTGCCCAGGTTCACAGCTAGTAAGTGTTAAGTGTCTGAGGCTGGATTTGAACCCAGGTCCTCCTGACTCTGAGGCCAGAGCTCTATTCACTGTCACCTAGCTGCCCCTATCAAAATATTTTTAAACAAATTTAAGGACACTAGGCTTAAGAACCCCTGCTATAGATTCAGTCCAACAGTCAATAAACATTTATTAAGCACCTGCTATATACCAAGCACTGTGCTAAGCTCTGGAGATACAAGGAAAGGCAAAAGACAATCCCTATCTTAAAGAACAGTACTGTTTGCCTAGATCTTAGCAAAGCATCTGACAAAAGTATCTCATACTATTCTTGCACGGAAGATGAAAATATCTGATTAGTCAGTGGTACAAGTAGGGAGATATGGAAGGACAAATGACCTGATCTTGCAAAAAAGGAAGAGAATGGAATCTTCAAACTGCAGGCCTATGAGCTTGACTCAAATCCTTGGACTTAAGCAAAGAATCCACTAGCATTTATTAAGGCATCGAGCTATGTGGTGGAAACACAAAGACAAAAAGGAAACAGCCCCTGCCTTTAAGGAGAATTTTTTCTGTCAGAGGAAATAAGATGTGAATGCATAAATAAATGCAAAGTACACACCAAGAAAATAAAAGGTAACTGGTGGGGAGAGGGAGGAGGGAGGCACTAACAGCAGAGGGAGTTGGAAAAGGCTTTGGGGCAGAAATGAGGAGGAAGTGCATTCTGGGCAAAGGGGACAAAGAAAGGCTGAGAAATGAAAGAGAATATGGGATGTGAGGCATAGCAAGAAAGCCAGTTTGCCAGGATGGCAGAGTAAATGGGGGGAAAAAGAAGTGTGTAGTAGGTCTGGAAAGATAGACTGGAGTCAGAATGTAAAGGAGTTTAAATCCCAAACACAAAACTTTGTGTTCTATTCTAGAGGCAAGAGGGAGTCGCTAGAGCTTTGAGAGCAAGGGAATGATACCTCTAGCCCTGTGCTTTTGAGAATATTCCTTTGGCCGCTGTATGGAGAGGACTGATTGGAGAAAGAAGAGACTGGCCTACTAGGCGGTTGGTGGTGAGACACTGAAGCTTAGAAGAGAGGTAGCATTGAATAGATAGATCTGGAAGTTATTTTTGAAGTTAAAGTAATTGAACCAGAGAAAACTAATGAAATTACTGAGAGAAGAGGGAAGAGTCTTGGAACAGAGCCTTGGGGTGTAGCCACCGTTAAGGGGTGGAACACAGAGAATAATCTAGCAGGGAGGACTGAGACATAGTGGTCAGGCAGGTAAGAGAAGAAACAACATAGAGCAATGTCAGGAAAACCCAGATATGAGATTATCTGGGAGAAAAAGCAGTCAACAGCATCACTGACTATAGAGGGTTCAAGAAAAGGCCATTGGATTTGGCAATTAATAGGTCACTGGTAACTTTAGAGAGCGCAGTTTCAGTCGAATGAGTTCAAAGCCAGATTGCAAAAGATTTGAAGAAAGTGAGAAGAGATTTAGTGGAGGCTGTGAGTGTAAATAGTTCTGCCCCCACAAGAGTAAGTGAAAGGAAAGAAATATAAAGCACTAGCTTGAGACGGTGGTAGGTTCAAATGAGGGTTGTTTAAGGGAAGGGAAAACTTGGGCATGTTTATGGACAGCAGGGAAATCAGGAGATTGGGAGCGACCAAAGATCAGTGCTAAAGGGGATGGTTGTGGAAGTAATTGCCATGGTCTTCTGTAGGAGACTGGAGAAGATAGAATCAAGGGTACAAATAAAAGGGCCAACCTTGGTGAGGAGAAGGGCCACCACTTTGTCAGATATGACTTTTTCCAACATTATTAGCATCATGTGAGCAGGAGCAGAGGGAGGCAGACTTGATGATCAAGCTGAGCTAGTTAACTATAGAGTCAAGATTAGGAAGTGGGGAAAGTAAAGCTGGGGCGGGGGATATTCTATTGAGGGGGGAGGAGAACAAAGAATGAGTAAAAAGCATGCATAGGGAGCAATGAAATGATAGGAAGTTATCATTAGATAAAGGTATTTCAGAATTCTTGGGTCATAGAAGTGGAACAATTATGGGTAATGGTGAGATCAAGAAGTATAGCTGTGTGTGGCTGAAAAGTAACAAAGGTATAGGCCATCTGAGTTGAGGAGATTGATGAAATGGAAGGCAAGGGTGTTTGAATAAACAAACACCAACATACATGTTGAAGTCCCCTAATAAAAAGGCAGGGAAGGGTTGGGGATAGAGAAGACCATGACCCAGATAATGAATGGACTTTTCAAAAAAGAAAAAGGGCCAGTAGGTAATTGCCAGCAAGATCTGGTTTGGGTGATAAATTTGAAAAGAGTAAATCTCAAAGGAAGAGAGGTTGCTGATTGATGGCAGGGAAAGGAGGGTCTGGAGGGCCATGGGGAAAAAAGAATATGTCTACTTCTCTTCAGGAGCAGTGTGTTGTGGGACATGAGAGTACGGCCAAGGAGGCAAAGGATCTTTTGGGAAAGTCTGAGTCTCTGTGAATGTCAAAATATGAAAGAAACATAAGAAGAAGAGATCTGAAGGGAAGTTTGTTGGCATTAGATCAAGGATTACAGAGGGCACAGTGAAAGGGGCAGGCAGAGCTGGATAGATTTGAGTGGGGTGGGGCAGAGGTGGATGGAGGTAATAGAACGGGAAGGGGTAATGGAAGAAGTGTGTAACTTTCACTTAGACAGCTAGGAACACTGCCTCACTGAGAATGAGAGAGTGATTGGTGCCTTCGGACAAAGGTTCCCACATTTGGGAAAGGAAGTGATAATCACAGTGAATCTGTCTGTCTTCATCAAGAATAGGTCACATGAGACTCACTTTATTTCTCTTTTTTTACATGGTTACTAAAATAATGTATTGGGGGAATTCACTGGTTATTGTTCATCTAGATCTTAGCAAAACATTTGATGAAGTTTCTCATACTATTCTTGGGGAAAAAGATGGGAAGAGATGGAAAGAAATGGATTAGTTATTGGTAAGGTCCAATTTGGTAGATTCAGAACTGGCTGAATAGCTCGACCCCAGAGATGAATCATTAATGGTTTGATGTCAGCTTGGAAGGAAGTCACCAGCATAATGTCCCAAGCACCCATATTTAGCCCTGTTCTGTTTAACATTTTTTTTAATCAGTGACTTGGATAAAGGGATAGGTGGCAACCTTATCAATTTTGCAATGACACAAAGAAAGGAAGGATAGTAACACACTGAGTAACAGAGTAGGGATTCAAAAAAGATCTTGACGCCCAGGAGGTATAGCTAAATATGCTAAGATAAAGTTTCATAGGCATATACTTGAACTAAAAAAAAAGAACTTGCCAAGTTTCAAGATGGGAGAGCCATGACTGTACTGCAGTTTGTCTAAGAAAGATCTTGGAGTTTCAGAGGACTGCAAGGTCAATATGAGTCAACAGCATTATGTAACAACCCCCGCAACTTATGTGGTTTTGGGCTGCATTGAGAGTCAGTTTCCAGGAATAAAGAGATGATGATAATTACTGTGTTCTGTTCTTATCAGACCATATTTGAAGAAATGTCTCCACTTCTAGGAGCTACATTTTAGGAAGAGCACTTATAAGCTATAGATCAGTTACAGGAGGTAAATGGCAAGATGCGTCCATGCCCTCTAAGGATCAACTGAAGGAACTGTACATATGTAGCACGGAGAAGAAATTCAGGGTCAGGATGGGAGGAGAGGTGAGGCATATGTGACATCTGTCTTACGTATTTGAAGGGCTGTCTCCTGGAAAAGAGATTAGATTTGTACTTGACACCAGAGGACATAAGTAGGAGCAATAGATCAAAGTTACAAAGAGATGGTCAATATGAGGGAAAATATCCTAACCAATTATCCAAAAGGGGAGTGGTTTGTTTCCAGGAGGTAAAGAGTTGGTTATTGGCAGTCTTCAAGTTCAGGCCAGATGACTACCAATCAAGTATGCTATAGTCAGTCAATAAGTGTGCACTTATTAAGTTCCTACTATGCAGCAGGTACTGTACTAGACATTCAA